CGCGCCTGAGAGGCCGCTTCTGCGGGAAAAAGGATCGCATCTGCGATCAAGCCACAAGGCTGCTTCCCCAGTTCCGCTTCTGCGATGGGGACTTCCGCATCCGCGAGTCCGCTTCTGCGGATACATGATCGCACCTGCAATCCCATCTAGGCTAGGACAAATCCTCTCCTACGAACCATGGCTCGCATTTGCGAGCCCGCACTACGTCTAATCCCTCCGCGGGTGCGAAGACACCAGAAGCTGAAATTTTCAGAAAATGCACAAGTCCAAATTTGTTCCGATATCGATCCGAATCACACCCAGTGCCCTCAGGACCCCATTCGAATATACCGACAAGTTTCAAAACACATAATGGACTTAGTCGAGGCCTTACATCACCTCAAACAATATCAAAACACGAATCGCACTCCAATTCAAGCCTAATGAACTTTTTGACTTTTAACTTGTACATTTGATGCCGAACCCTATCAAATCAAGTCCGATTGACCTTAAATTTTACACTCAAGTTATAATTGACATTAAGGACCTATTCCAACTTTCGGAATCGGAATCCGACCCCGATATCAAAAAGTGCACTCCTGGTCAAACTTTCCAAAATCTTCCAACTTTCCAATTTTCGCCAATTAACGCCGAAATGACCTACGGACCTCCAAATCAATATCCAGATATACTCGTAAGATCAAAATCACTCTACGAAACTATTGGAACTGTTAAAACTCCATTTCGGGGTAGTCTTCACACATGTCAAACTACTCAACCCCTACGACTTAAATTTTTAATTCAGGGACTATGTGTCTCATTCCACTCTGAAACTCTCCTGAGCCCGACACGAAGCACCCTGGAAAGTCACGTAACCACAAAATAAAATAGAGAGAGCGATAAATAAGGGATCGGGACTAGTACTCTCAAAACAACCAGACGCGTCGTTACAAAAATTGTGACAATAGAACAACAAGATATACACAATTGACATGCATACCTCATAGTTACATGTGTTTCCATATTGATAATTTGATATGCATGCCACTTCTCTTTCTAGTACAAGTGTTCCAACACTGATTTATCCATGTTTAATCCTTAGGAACCTATAGACTATTGTTCCTTCAAAATATTGCAAGTAAATATAATCAATCAAAATTACAGTTTTACGTAAAAGAAACGGGCTTAAAATATGCATGGTAGTATCACGATCAAGAATAGGACTTAACTAAATAACTAGACAAAAGGAGGAGATGTTTTGTGATCTTAATTATTTATCCTATCTATTTAATTTGTGCATTTTGGATATTACCCCATTGTATCCCCCACCCCCAAAAAAAAAAATTTAAAAAATGTGACTTACGTTTAATTATTTAAACGGCAGTATCTCATATCTGGATTAGAAACGTGAGCTCCACTGAGGATGGAGACAATACTCCCTCGTATCAGATATGAACGAAAAGTTAATTGAGTTTCCCGTGAGGTTAGGCCAAAGAGAACGATGCAATAAGAAATTAGAATTTTAGAAAACTTCTTAGTGAGTTGCACAAGACAAATATATGTTTAATACGAGGAGATTGTCTTCTAATATATACACTAATAATATACTATTACTACCCGCAAGGGTTGACTGAGTTGGTTGGGTGAGTAGTTTCCATATGAACCTGGGATCGATTCCCCTCACCTGCAACCTCCTCAGCTATAGAGCTCGTTGCACTGGGCTTGCCTAGTGCGGTTTACATTTTCTGTGTGGTTTGTGAGCTATTGCACAGTGAACAGGTTACCTAGCGCGCACCCAAAGGGTAGAGCCTATGAGTTTCCCTGGGTTGACTAAGTTGGTTGGGTGAGTGGTTTCCACATGGGAGAGCTGGGATCGATTTCCTCACCAGCAACCTCGCCTCAACTAGAGTTTATCGCACCGGACTTGCCTAGTGCGGTTTACAAGCTATTGCACAGTGAGTATGTTACCTAGTGCACCCAAAGGGTAGCGGCTATGATTTTTCTAGAGAATTTTTCCAAAAAAAATAAATAATATACGGTATATACTACTACCTTTTTACGTTGACATGTACAACCACCTTCTCACCATCTCATGAGTCATGAACATTTATTTGACGTGCACTAATCTACTGTTGTAACTTCTACAACCACATTGCCTCCCACCATCTCATCTATCCTGAATTCCTGATGAATTTGACAAGTGAAAGTGGAAATATACCTTTCTTATATTACATTATTTCAACGAAAAGATATGAAAGTGCTGCGCATGCATACCTAATAAGGGAAATAAAAGAAATGGATTTCAACCAAGCTGTGTCTTGTCGAAATAACTTGTATACATTAATAACAGGAAAAAAATAAATTACCACTATTTTAATTAAGTCGCCTAAAAATAATAGAGGTAGCTGCTCATATTAATTAAGTTCTATTAGTAACATGTAAAATAAATTCGGCTATATGTTACAACATGTTAGATTACACTCCTCGTATAAAAATACTTATACGTTTGTTTACTTTATAGTATAGATTAAATCCTTGTGAAGAGCATGTGGAGATTGTTAGGTCACTGTGCATTTCCACATTTCTGTAATAATTTTGAGTGGAAACACCACTCTAAGAATCACAATCAATTAAGAGTACTGTTTCAGTCCTATGTTTACTGTGGAGGAATTATTACAAGCTTTCAATGTTTTTCAAACTTTTGCTTTAGCAATCTCTCTAATTCCTTGAGTCAATACCACTTCTCATTACAAGGGAGACCCCATACATATGGAGGTCAGACATTCACATTATGCGCTGCCAAATTTGGTGGTCTTTCACTTAAATCAGCAAGTTTCAAATTTTCAATTTTTAAAACCTCTCCTTATGAAATTTAAAGCATCTTTACTAATTAATTGGTTATAAATGGATAAAAGATCTGAGTAAAAAAAAAATATAAGAAATTACTCACAAAGAGTTCTTCCTCATAAGATTTACTAAACTGAATTTGGCTTCTCAAATTACAAATAGATATGCCAATTGGACGATGAGTACTTGCTCACTGTATACTAATGAGCTTGTGAATTTCCCCTTTTTTCTGAATTTCAAAGCTGATTTGCAGCTGTGGATTTTAATTTATTAATGTAAAAGACCACATACTATTACGGCATATCACACACTGCTACAACAATAAAGGTGTGTGGTCTATTTAGAGTTTAAGTCATATGCATTTATGCTGTAAAAAGTATTTACATAATGAGGTCAAAAAGGTAATTACTGACAAACCTTAATGAGTAACGTGATAAAAATGATAATTGACCAGCTAAACTACACGAATAGCATCAAAAATTTATAATGTTGATGCATATAACTTAAATCCTTTTAGAAATACCTACATTTTTGGAATGAAACAAAGTCATAACATGTTCATGAGTTTCTATTTTTCCTTCTTTAGATCATTCATCTGCTATAAACAGGCTGATAGTGTAACATCCTCTATGCACAAAATAATAACTCACGACAAGACATGGCTATTCACAAAGTTGGTTTCCTTGCTCTCCTCCTCCTGTTTGGTGAGTGATTTCAGTAATTCTGAAACTACAATATTGAAAGACGTATTATACATTTCTTTCTGATTTTGTTCACCTAGCTTAAACTTTCTGGCAAAGTTATTGTGTTCTAAGCTTTCTTGGAAATATTAATTATTTCAGGATATTTAAAACGAAAGAGTGAGAAACATTTTGTAAGAAGAGAGTAATACTTATAGCATGTAGAGAAAATATACTCTTTTCTTGCAATAATATTGTGATGATGCCTCTTTCATCGCATAAGAGAGAGTAATATTTAACTTTAACTGGTTATAGCATGTTATTTTCTAAGATATAATTTAGGTTTACTATAGACGGTTTATCTGTCGTTACAAATTACTAATTTGAAAAATCTACATCGTCAATGTACCAAAGTTTAACTGTTAACATCAGTGGCAGATATAGTGTTAAAGTGACAGGTACAATTGAACTCATAACTTTCGACGCGAAGTATAATTTATAAAAATTCATTAAATTTGCAAAAAGTAGTAAATATAAACCCATAACTTCAAAAATATAATGGGTTTAATGCTAAAAAACTTAAATATTGAACCCATAAAATTTAAATCCTGAATTCTTTTCTGGTTAATATGGGTGCAATGTAGGAACACTTGTACTAGGAAGTAAAATGGCAACTGCGGCGGAGGAGGAGAAGTCTTGTCCTCGAGATTGCATTAGCGATGCAGCTTACATGGTTTGCCCAACTCGCCATCGACAACATAAGCTAATTGAATCCTATTGCGACAACTGTTGCACTTTACCCGAAAACTGCAAACTTTTCAAAGAGAATGGTGATCTCATATGTACTGGAACTGATTATTAGCTGTTGATTCTCGGTTGGAAGGCGACTAGCTACTTAAATATTTACTACTTATGTAATAAGGCCCGAGGTTATGATCCTCAGGTGATCTCTGATCTTTAATTTGTAATTCCTTGACTAATTAAGCTTTTACTAAGTTAAAAAAGTTTAATCAGCTTATATTACTGAGTGACGTTTTTCATCTTGTTAGACTACTACGATGCTAGTTGTCACCTACCATAATCCTCCTCCTTTCTCCGCACTTGAGACCGACCATTGTTTGTGAAGCTCACATTGGCAGAGTTACAAAGAGATGACACATTCGATTTTAAAAAAATATGGTAAACATTAAACAAAAAAAACAAGCAGAATACGTGTGGAATTTACCCCAATATCAGCAGTACCCCCGACAATACTTTGAGTCACAAAGACAGCTGCAACATTGAGGTGTTGCAAACAAACTGTGATAGAAGCTAAATGTGTTGTCCAGTACTAAGGACCTAGCTGTGAAGACCAACTTTCAATACTTAAAACATACTAACTAGTAACTACTACGCCTCAAGCTCAAACTAGTCGGAGCAGGATGCAGAACTCTAAATCTAGCAATAAATTACAACCGCTCCTATATCATAAAGCCATAGTTAAACCCCTGAAGATTAAAGAGAGAATTAAACCAACTATATTAAAAAACCATGCGGTATCTGTGACCAAATGATAACATATATCATCAGAGATTACACAAACTAGACGAAACAGTCATGTTGCACAAGCAGTGTGCTGGGCACCGAATAACTACATGTTACCAGAAACTTTCTGATCCTCAATGCCAAGAGATAATCCTGATGTACGATTAAATTGGTCCCTCGTTATAAAAACTGAAGGTGGTTGCTGGTATGGTGAGCTCAAGCTTGATTCCAATATCTGATGTGTAAGTGCCACATCGTCTTTTGCAAAGGCTGCACTTGTGGCCACTCTTTGTTTCTTCGATGACCTCTCACCGTTAGGGCTCTCCATTGGCGACGACTCTGGGCAATCAGAATCTGGAGTGAGAGGCTCATGCTGCAAGGAGAATGATTCGTCCACAGAAAGGCTCTTGGTTGGGGCATGTGCTTTTACATGCTTCTCAACATTAGGGGACTCAGATGTTGGTGCAGGAGTCCCTGGTTCACTCCTATTATCAGATTCTGGGCCATTGTCACCAGTTGGAGGAGCAGTGACCCCAGAACCAGGAACTTCTGAAAGAACTCCACTGAGCCGCTGTTGCTCTTCGATTATCTTCTTCAAATACTTCCCTTGGGCTTCTATTCTAAGTTGTAGCTGTTTCTGGACCTGTTAAAGAGCAGGAAAAAGGGCGCTGTTACCACTTTCACAAGCCTGAAACTTTTGCAGGACTTAATTAACAGTCGTCCTTCATGCAGGAAAGCATGCTGTCCAAACTCAGGGGAAGTAAAGTAGAAACAGAATTAATTATACCAAGTGAATTTTGATATTTCACAAAGGCAGAATTAAGTTATCCAATCGTATGGCCACTTCATTTGGTAGCCGTGAACTCGTGTCCATGAGCATGTCCCAACAATATGCTCAAAAATGGTCATAGATATGGGAATTTTGATCTTCTAATATAGAATAATGTCAACCTATTGCCAAAAAACCTTTCTGCTACATTTTTTGCATTATTCCTCGTGCTCATAATAGCTTTTAACCCTTGACATAACGGAAGGGTTAGTACCTCCACCACTAGAAAACAAAGGAAAGTTGGTATATTTTCGGTACATTATACCATTTCATATACAATGCAAAGATTAGTGCATATCACCCTAGTACAGTTGCTCCCTCTCATGACTTGCACGGATATAAACCCACATTGTTTTTTGATAGGTTGGATATAAACCCAGATTGTAAGAGAGACAACATACTCAGATACATTTTAATTTTCTTGAGACAAGGTAAGCAAATGAGCAAAAGATATTCTTGCAGGTCTTTGTTGAAGCGGCATATTGAAAACAAAAGGTTACTGCAAAAATTATGAAGCCAATGGTTAGCATTTGCTTATTATTTTGCATAGGAAAAGAGAAGGAACACTCCTGCTACAGAAGCAGCAAAAATAGGTTCTTCTTCACATTCCTTTAGCTGTCAATTAAATGCTCCCTAAAGACTATATCCATACCAATTATACAAAAAGCATTAAAAGAGCATACCTCCAGTTGCTCGTGCAGTCGCTTTTGCACCTCCATCTGCAGCTTTAGAGCCGTAGTGATTTCCACTCCTCTGTTAACAAGCAATTCTCTCTCGAGTCAAATATTTAAGATCCTTAAATATACAAACCACTTAGTTTTTTGAAAAAACAAGGACTGACTTTGTGGTCATTTTAGAATACAAGACTAGTGTAGATACATTCCAAGTTCATGCATTCAGAAGAATTCTACACAAGCAACAAGGGAAAATCTACTTACGATGAACCATCCAAACTTGATAGCATATCCCTCGATTCTTTCTTATCAGGTTTTTTCCCTTGCAATCACAAGACAAAAGCACATTAGTGTGTTGGCATAACTGGAGTAGAACCAACTTCATCACATCCTCAATTAATCAAGCTAGGTTCAAAATATAAGGAGTAGACAACCATGACGATTTTGAATTCTATCACAGCATACCATCAGATGAGGAATCTGGAAGATATTTAGCAAGTCGATATTTCTGAGCCAACAGGAAAATAAACGAAAGTCAGTTACCATAAAAGAATAATTCAAGCACACATTTCCGTAGGATAAGTTGTACAAATAAAATATGGTGAATGATACCTGTAAATGGCTTTTTACATGGTAAATGGTTAGCCCTTGTACACCCATGACTCTAAGAACACCTTTCGGTGTAGCTCCTGAAACAGAGAAAAGAATCTCAGAAGAGTATAATAAATCAGTAAACACAAGGATACTGGATACTTCAGTTCACACCTCAAAGAGTTATTACTCCCTCCGGCATTTTATGTAATATCTTTTGACTGGCATGGAGGATAAGATAGGTTTAGTAGTAGTTTACAACGAAATAAATGTTATGTAACAGTTGAAAAATTAGTTTGAAAGAGAAATAGTCACATTAAAGCTTAATATTGATTTACTTAAGTAAATATGAGTTTTAGAAGCTTGAAGTAGTTGTATAAAGTAGTAATACTTTTAGTTAAATTATCAGACATTTTGGGACATTCAAAATTGAAAAAGTGCAATATTAATTAGGAAGAAGGTGTATTAGTTGCCAAATCTAGATAATTTAATGATTAACTGATGGAATATCATAGATCATATAAATATACAAAATGAAACTTACGGCAACTTGCAGATTTACCAAAATTCAATTATATCTCCAATTGCAAAGATTTTAATAAAACTGTCTTTTCCCTTTTCCCCGATATGTCGCATAAAGCTAAGGCTTGAACAATTATTTAGAAAAATAACCAATACTGGGGTCAAGTGAAAGTTGGCCGCCCAATTTTTGGGACATGATTGCATTTACGTGGTCATCTACACTCGGTTATTTATGATATTTGTGTGCTTGCATGCACNCTGTTGTTATTGCCTCCACTGGTCGGATCCATTGAGCCGTCATCACAGTCTAATAACTGACTATGCACTGCTGCATTGTTGTGGACTAAGCTTGAACCTGGAACGCCTTTGGGCTGATACATTTCATTTATCTACATAAAATAATGAAGCAGTCATAAAACAAAGACTTAAAAAGTACTACAAGATTTTCAAAATCAGCAAAACAACAATAGAGCACTACTTTCTGAAATATAATACACACAAAAGAAAAAGATTTGTCCTCTTTAAATTGCTCTAGTTTTCCCTGATTCCATGTAATAAGCATTGTCACCACATACCTTTTGTTACAATTATAGCAATTCCCGGACCAACTAATCCTCCTATACCGTAGTTAACTCATCATTTATTAAAATTGTCTTAACCATCAAAGTATTCAACTTTACAGGGGTGGACCCACATGGATCTATGCGGTTGCTCCAGCACCCATTGCTTTTGACTCAGGATCTATATGTTTCTAGAGGCAAGGGGAGCACCCAAGTCAGTGCGTACATTGGTTAATAAGCCGGATGAAGCAGCTCTGTAATCCCCTGCGTGCAGGATTAAATCTCCTCTCAAACAGTTTGTCTTTTTCAACCGATGCTTTTTATTTCCCTTTCTTTTTACTTTATTGCTTTCCTTTTTAATTTCTTATTTCCATCTTCACTTTCTTTCCCAATTTCCATACCCACACTTCCCCCCAAAAAAATGTTTTATTTTTGTTCCTTTTGTCGTTTTTCTTTCTTTATTTGCTTTTCCTTTTCGCTTTCTTTCCCACCCAAACCCCATCTTCCCGAAACCTATGAAACTCCCTCTTCCTCAACAGTAGAACGAAACTCCTCCTACCTCCTCTGTTACAGCTCCTTTTTCCCAGATGAAACTTCACCGATCTTCTTCTCTCTCTCACTGGTCTCAGCACTTTGGCTTTTTTCTATTTGACTTTTGAGACTGAGAGACCAATCAAATATAGTTTAAAACCTTTTTTTTTTGTGTGTGTGTAAATATAGAAACTTTCAATGTATGTTTAATCTAAAACTAATACGTCAGCAGCGACTTCTGATTTTTCGGAACTATTTGAGGTTGCCTATCTGAAGCCATATTCAATCTACTCTACATATCTATATCATTCGAATACTGGATTTTCAATCTAAAGATTATCTAAACTCACATCCCCACAGGTTTCAAAATGAGCTAAATTTATATATTAGGACTAGTTATTTAACCAGCTGGTGAAATCACCCCTGGTATTACATATTGCATTTCAGCTCAAGACCAATTTATGCTGATCAGCCTTTTGCCTACTTTGAAATTGAGTATTGGAATGAATTTTTAGGATTCATATATTGAACACCGTCTCGTTTGACATTGAGGCATAGTTGTTGTTGTAGTATTGGAATATACAATAACACATCCCCAAATTTCCAAATGTTTCAAATTCATAAATAACAACCCACCCTTGTAATTTGACCAGCTGTTTAACCCATTCCTTGTATCAAACACTACATTTCAGCTCATTAGCCTCTCTAAAGCTTCAAAAAAGAAAGTAGTCAACTCAAGCCATCTACCATAACCCTAAATTACATCTCTAAACCCCAACATAATTCATCGAATAAAACCTTAAAAATTCAATCTTTAAACTTCTCCACTACACAACACACCATAAAATCAAGAAATTGACCCAACAAGAAAAAGAAAAAAAAAACAATTTTCAGAAGATTGAAAAACACTAACAACGTTCTCACAGAAGAAGATCAAATTGTTAAGAGATAAGCATCTTACAGTGAATAGCACTCTTCCTTTTCGCGATGCGATCTTCGAAATCCTCACTCGAGCAGTACGAAGTGACTTTTTTGAATTTCTTAAACTTTATTGAGGAAAAAATATTACAGGGAAAAACTAAGGGGGGCTCTAAGTAAATAACTTAAAACTGACCGCGGGCAGGATCAGCGGACCCCAGAGACTGACCCAGCTGAGAAAGACATTGTTGTTTAATTAGCCTAGCCGGCCCGGAATCTACTTGGTAATATTCCGGCACATTGTAGTTATAAGACATTTTAATAAAGTCCTTGTTTTGCAATTTGGCTTTTTCTTATTTGATTGGTATTGGCATTTTGGACCATCTCTTCTCTCCAATGCTTTCCTTTCGTTTTCAAACTTTTGTGTTTTTGTTTTATTTTTTGCTTATTATTTAAAAAGATACTTTGGTAATGAGTAGTACTACTCTCCCTTCTCATTGGCAGACTTTTATATGGAAATACATGTCACACTCGGTGTAGCATTGTTGTCTTTACGAAAGTAGAACCCTACTCGTAGTATCAAAGATTTTTCTAGTAAGGTATGTAATATGTCCATAAAAACGGTGTCACATTAGATGTTTTGTTTTAACTTCTCTAGTTTTAGCTTAGCAGAAGGCAATGCCGGACCCAAGATTTTGTGCAAGCGGGTTAAATCTTAGAATTATATAAATTTAGTCGTAAAATAGTAGTTGTCAAGTGGGTTCAAATAAAATATTTATGCAAAATTTACACAATTTTAATTCTAATTTATACATATACATAATATTATTTTTTTGTGAAGCGGGTTCAACCACCACTTCGGTCCGCCACTGGCAGAAGGGGTACCTTCTCCCTCCTCACTCAACATAGGACGGCAGCTCATGCGCTTTTTGATCTGATCTAATAGGGCTTGGACGAGCCCTTACTTAAAACAAAAGGGCTTCAACCCCAATTGATCTATCATCTCTGTGAATGCTATGTTATTCAAACTCCACACGCTATGTTTACATCAGATAAAAAAAATATTAGTATTAGAAGGTACAGACTGAATTAAGAATACATTACACTTAACGAAAAGTATAATGTACAATAATTGTTTCACCTTTATTAGTTCAATGTAAACACTGAACAGATAAATATATTTTCTTTCATTTTTAGTCTTATGAGATACAGACAAAGACATGTTAATATGATGCTATAAAGATGGTAAAAATTTTAAATTCATTAAAGCTAGTATTAAGGTAATTTTACTCAATTTTATTTGATCGAGTGGGAGAACCAAATCGTTTTATTTGGAAGTTAATGAAACATTTGATTTAAAATTGATTCGATCGATCTAACATGAGTGATGTGATATATAAAACCTTTTTTCTAATAGTTTATTTTATGTACTTTCAAATCCAATCCATTGCATCTCTTCTCCAGCTATAAATTATATTGTCTTTCTTATGCCTTGAGCTGCACTCTAAATTTTCAACGGTTATTTAGATTATTTCGTCTTGAGCTAGGTGTTTGGAGTTTCAAGTGACACAATTGGAGATGACTAGACCTTTGTGGCATTCTTTAATTGGAGAATCTCATTCTTAGCTTTACGGGGTTGTCAAGAATAATATAATTTAATTAATTTTTTTAGTAAGTGCTTAAACAATTATATTCAAATATTCAAGAAAAGAAAAGAAAAGATTATCCTTTTTGGAGTTCTCTGATCCTACACCAAATACAAAGTGGTGAATTCCATTCTTTTGTATATTTGTCTTTTACACAACTTAGGAGCCAATGCCACTCGGATTTCACTGAGAGAAGCTGCTTTCTAGTCTTAGACCTCTTCCTTAATTCGTATATCAATTATCACCAACACAGAAAAAGGAAGTTTTTGTGCTAATATGTTAAAATAATCATATTATTTAGTTTTGTTTCTGAATGTTTTGATGACTCTTATACTTAGAGTTTGTTCTTTGTCACAAGAACGGAGATGCTATTCCATTGCCTCCAAGTTTGATTTGTGATTAAATATTGGATAAAAGAGGGCATTGCGTAATATTTTCTTTTATATGTTAATCCACAGGTAATGTCACTTGGCCAAGTGGCATTTCTAATGATTAAAAAAAAGGAGGGATCGTGATGGTGTTGTCTACGTCCATACAACTTATCGTGAAGGATCTGCATTCAACCACTATTTTTAATTGAAGAATTAACCCCCAAATAGCTGTACATTCAACCACTTAAATAAAAAATAGCATGTGTATGTAATATATATATATATATATA